TGTGTACTGAAGCAGTGTGAGTTGTGCGCTACGTCCCCCCCCCCCCCCCCCCTCCCCCCACAGAAAAAAAACCATCTAGTTTTTTTTTTGGCGGCGTCAATCAGGTCAGGCTGGCAGGCTGGCAAGCGTACGCAGAATTCCATGGAAACTGGCGGGAGAACTTGTGCACTGCAGTAGGCAGCCAAGAGAAGGGAGAGGGCAACCAGGCGCTTTAGAGTTGAAGAAGGGATGGACATGGTGGGTATGGGTGTATGGCGGCGATGGTGAGTGGTGGTGGTAGTGATGGTGGTGGTGCGCCTGGAGTGATGTGGGTGGCTGTTGAGGAGGAGGGATGGTTGGAGTGAAACGGGCATCACGTGCCGGGCAACATGCGTGCGAGACGAGGAGGGTGTTTGACAGCTACGGTTCTATTTTTACACTATTTTTTGCCCTTTGAGTCAATGAGTCCAAGCACCAACTCGCACCGGCCAAGGGATGTGTGGGTGCACTGCCGATGTCGATGAGCTGCTTAGCTGCATCAGCCCTCGCGACTGCGGTTCTGCCGGCCGATCAGTGGACCGGATGCTCCAACAACGGCCTTGCTGTGAACGCCGGCAGCGTTGTTGTCAGCGGCGGCATCGACGAGACCGTCATCGATGGCGAGCGGCCGGATGAGATTGACGACGAGTCCGCGACCTCTACACCCGCCGCGTCGTCTATGTCGTCGTCACATGGCTGTTGCCTACGGCCCGTACAACGGCGAGCAGACGAGTCTGGCGGCTACCCTCAGTGAGCTTGCTACTGCGCGATCGTCGCGGGGGCGGCCTCGTCGCCACGCGGCGCGAGATGGAGGCAGTGATGAAGGCTGGCGGGCCGATGGCGCTCAGCGGGTACACGCGGGTGATGGTCAACGTCTTGCTGCCACATGTAATCTACGCGCGCATCGACTGTGGGTCGCTGGAGGAGATCCTTGCCGAGGCCTTTCTCGTGGGCGGCCGCACGATCGGTCGTTGCAGCGGGAGCAGAAGCGGGCTGACCGGGCTCGGACACCGCTGTTAGCTGAGCTCGGGCTCGGGCCTCGACCGCGTGTGGGCGCTGAGCATCGGGCTGGCGCTGGCGCGTGCGCTCGCCGAGGTCCACTCGACCACGGGCGGCGGGCACGACGTGGTGGTGGACCACAAAAGCGGACGAATGGTCATCAAGAGCAACCTGGGGACGATGGCGGTGGTGCCATCGGTGGGGTACATGGCACCGGAGCAGCTGCGCGGAGCCGACGAGGGCCCCGAGGGCGACATGTTCACCTTTGGAACGCTCCTCTACGAGATGCTCATGTGGGCGCCGGCGTTTGATGGCAGCAATGCCATGGGGGTCGGCCGTCAGGTCCTCACCAGCAACGCTGCTAGTGCGATGGCGGGTGCGCCGGAGCAGCTGCGCGGACTCATCCAGCGGTGTTGGTCGGTCGATCCGCTGGTGAGGCCCATGGCGCAGGAGGCTGCGGATGTGCTGGCGGCGGCGAGGATGCGGGCGCGGTGCTCGGGGGAGAAAAGGCGGTGGGTGTTATGGGTGGCGGCGGAGGATGATGGGGGGGCAGTTGGAGACGACAGCGAGGAGGCGGTTGGGGTCGGAGGGGTGGGGGATGGAGAGGCCGGTGTGGTTGGCAATGGTGATGCGAGTGGAGTTGTTGCGTGGGTGGGTGGAGGTGGAGCGGCGGGCGTGGAGCCCGAAGGAGGAAGGGTGGCGGGGGTGGAGGGTGTAGCCGGTGGGGGAGGGGTACCACTCGAACGTCTCGTCGGAGTATGAGCGGGAGACCAGGACGGGTAGCTGGCCATCCGCACTCGGCAGCGCAATCACACCCTCCACATACTCGGTGTGGCCCTCCAGCACCTCACAGGAGGCACTGTCCGCGGTGAACCGCATGGCGCCCGTCCCGTTGTCGGCAGCATGCCACACCCGAATCGTGTTGTTGTCTCTTGACCACGAGACAAGGACAGACAGCTGGCCATCCGCACTCGGCAGCGCAATCACACCCCGCACCCTGCTGGTGTGGCCCTCCAGCACCTCACAGGAGGCACTGTCCGCGGTGAACCGCATGGCGCCCGTCCCGTTGTCGGCAGCATGCCACACCCGAATCGTGTTGTTGTCTCTTGACCACGAGACAAGGACAGACAGCTGGCCATCCGCACTCGGCAGCGCAATCACACCCCGCACACTGTAGGTGTGGCCCTCCAGCACCTCACAGGAGGCATTGTCCGCGGTGTACCGCATGGCGCCCGTCCCGTCGTCCGCAGGATGCCACACCCGGATCGTGTTGTCCTCCGACCACGAGACCAGGACAGGCAGCTGGCCATCCGCACTTGTCAGCGCAATCACACCCTTCACATACTTGGTGTGGCCCTCCAGCACCTCACAGGAGGCATTGTCTGCAGTGTACCGCATGGCGCGCGTCCCGTCGTCCGCAGCATGCCACACCCGGATCGTGTAGTCCCACGACCACGAGACCAGGACGGGCAGCTGGCCATCCGCACTCGGCAGCGCAATCACACCCAGCATCCTGCTGGTGTGGCCCTCCAGCACCTCACAGGAGGCATTGTCCGCGGTGTAGCGCATGGCGCCCGTCCCGTCGTCCGCAGCATGCCACACCCGGATCGTGTTGTCCTCCGACCACGAGACCAGGACAGGCAGCTGGCCATCCGCACTCGGCAGCGCAATCACACCCCGCACATACTTGGTGTGGCCCTCCAGCACCTCACAGGAGGCACTGTCCGCGGTGTACCGCATGGCGCCCGTCCCGTCGTCCGCAGCATGCCACACCCGGATCGTCCCGTCGAGCGACCACGAGACCAGGACAGGCAGCTGGCCATCCGCACTCGGCAGCGCAATCACACCTTGCACACTGTAGGTGTGGCCCTCGAGCACCTCACAGGAGGCACTGTCCACGGTGTACCGCATGGCGCCCGTCCCGTCGTCTGCAGCATGCCACACCCTGATCGTCTTGTCGTCTGACCACGAGACCAGGACAGGCAGCTGGCCATCCGCACTCGGCAGCGCAATCACACCATGCACATCGTCGGTGTGGCCCTCCAGCACCTCACAGGAGGCACTGTCCGCGGTGTACCGCATGGCGCCCATCCCGTCGTCCGCAGCATGCCACACCCGGATCGTCCTGTCTCTCGACCACGAGACCAGGACAGGCAGCTGGCCATCCGCACTCGGCAGCGCAATCACACCCCGCACAAGGCTGGTGTGGCCCTCCAGCACCTCACAGAAGGCCCTGTCCGCGGTGTACCGCATGGCGCCCGTCCCGTCGTCCGCAGCATGCCACACCCGGATCGTCTTGTCCCCCGACCACGAGACCAGGACGAGGCA